AAAGAAAGAAAGAAAGAAAGAAAGAAAGAAAGAAAGAAAGAAAGAAAGAAAGAAAGAAAATATTGTGTAACCTGAACTTACATTGGTGTGTAAACAACCAATTATGTACCCAGTGGCACAAGCTTACTGGAATCCATGCTCTTCAACTGATGAATCATGGTTGATTAGCGGGTTGTGAAATTGCTCCAATGGGTCACAAGCATCCTTTGGAAGAATGGAGCAGAACAGAATGGAAGAACAGACCAGCGCAGGCTAAGGTAGAATAGAGCAAAATCTCAATTCATCACATATAATAAAATTTACATTTTGTGTCATATTACTTCAACTAAATAGGTATGTGTACTTATTCATGTAAAATAAGTTTTTATTACTGTAGGTCAGAAAGCTACTTTAGGAAGAGGAAGGCGGCCAGATGCAAAGCAGGTGGAGTTACTTACCACTGTTTTCCGTGGCGTGGCTTTCCCTTCAGTGCCAAAGTGAGCCAGCCTTCCTTGGCTCATCTGCATAGAGCTGTTCTCAGGTCACTCTTTTTGGACAGATCTCTGTCTAAAAGATCCGCCACCACCCCTCCCCCCCCCAGCCACGCCACCAGTACCACAGATCCTCCATCAGATGAATGCACCTGCTAGATTCAAAACATGTTTTGGACACCAGGGGAGGGCAAAGCGATGGTCCTAAAAGCTGTGGTGGTTAGTAGCAGAGTTGGAAGCAGAACTCGATTATGTATGGATTCTTTTAAGACTGGAAGGGGAGGAGTAGGCAGCGACTCCCATGCCAGGCTCAGGGAGCAGCTGTTCCTTCACAGCCTGAGCTAGGAAAGGGGAGAAATGGACTTTGATTGCAGCCAGAGGGCCTGGGCTATGCCTGGCGAGGGATGTCCTGTGGTAAGCCACGGTGGCATCCTCGTCTGGGATCAGAAAGGAGCAGACCCTGTTCTGCATACAGCGGAAGAATAGGCAAGTCTACAAGTTTTTCTCTATTCCCAAGACTTCCTATTCACTTTACCAGCATGCCTTTTTACTTGGCCCCTCTCTGCCTCCATGTCTCTGTCTCTTTCTCTCTTTTCTCTCCTCCCCCTTACTCACCCCCTCTCCCATAGTGTTTCTCCATTTTTCTACTAGCAAGCAGTCTGGGTAGCTTTCCGTGTTCCTGTCCTCAGCCAGCCACGGATGATCTGAATACCTTGGTGCTCTGCTGGGCCGCAGTTAGCTCTGCTTTTCAGCCAGATGTCAAATCAAGCTTGCAACAGCTGCGATCAGCTGTTGGAAGTGGGGGAGCCAGGCAGTGAGGTAGGAGCCTCTGGCTGCTGGCCAAACCCCAGTGGAAAGACCAGTGTCTTTTGTACAGCTTGTCTCTTTCTGTCGCTGACTCCATTGCTCTGGCCTTTTCTTTGTGTACGCATCTCTTTTTCTTCTACCTCAAATCGTCTAGCCTCCTCTGACCTCTCCTTGGAAAATGGAAGCCATTGCACTTATGCACATACCTTTTACAATATCGCTTTCTTTGTGACTGAGGGAAGGAGCCAGCGGATCTCCATTTATGAATTCACCTTCAACCTTAGCTATTGATGAGGTGCTCTGTAGTAATGGAGAAGAGCCTGGATCCTGCTAGACTTATGTCCTCACCTTGCCCCTACTTCTTACTGGCCCCTAATCTCTCCCTAGCCACATACTTGAATTCTGAGCCCGCCAGGTTCCTCCAATGCTATGTGGGATACCTGCATGAGTATGTTGAAAGGATTGAAAAACAAACATGCATAAAAGTCTTTTCTTCCACTCAGGGATAAATGCATGTTACATGTCCTGTGCATGATGTCTCTCCCTGGGCAGAGTCTCTACTCTGCCTCCCTCAGCAACCATACACCCCAACTCTATCTCCACCCTGAGGGTTGCCACTGAAATACTTAAACTCCATGGAGAAGATGCGTCTGTGAATGGTCATGGTGATGGCACCAACCCTTGTCACATTTCCGGGATTAGAAAATGAGCCATCTGTAGCATGAGTCATTGCTGAATAGGGGTGAAAGGGCAGAGGCAGAAAAAAAACAAAAAACAAAAACAAAAAAAAAAAAAACATGAGGTTTCTCCTGGGCCTTAGAAGGAGGCAGAAGCTCACATTAGGCATCGATGTTTAATAAAGGATATGGATGGACCATGAAGATAATTAATGAGAAAGACTGTTGATCAAGTGTGGTTACTTAAAACTCCTCCCCCTCCCCATTCACTCAACCTCCGGCTTGGTTGGAGCAGCTTTCCTTTGGCTTTGGTGGTGCAGTTAAGATCCAGGCTACCTTCAAAGCTGCTGGCCCAGGGGCATCCTGAGGTGACCTGCTGGTGCCCATGTCTATATGGGATCTGGAGACTGCTACATAGCACCATATGAAGCATCTGGGAGCCCCTCTCAGATAATGGGGAGCCACCATGGCCAAATAGACCTAGGTTGTTTTCATTATCTGTGGACTCCTCTGAGAATTACATCCTGACACCAGAGAAAGCTTTTGGAGGTGTTGGGGAGAGAGAACAGGAAAAATATAACTCCAGGCTGGCTTTTGTGGATTTTGATTCTTTTATTCCACAGACAATTTTTGGTTGGGCTATAGACTTCGTCTGTCTTCTTTTGTCCAAGTTTAAAAGCCAAGAGCTCACCTGCTATTTAAATCTTGAGATTTTATCCATGTTTCCAAGAAAGAGGTATCTTCTTTCTTTCAGACTATACACAATATATATATACACACAGACATATATATATATGTCTCATATATATATATATATATATATATATATATAATGTTTTTCAAGGCAAGGTTTCTTGATGTAACAGCCCTGTGTAACAGCCCTAGCTGTCCTGGAACGCTCTTTATAGACCAGGCTGGCCTCAAACTCACAGAGTCCGCCTGCCTCTGCCTCCCAAGTGCTGTGATTAAAGGTACGCACCACCACACCCATTATCTTTATTTGTATTTTTGTTTTACCTATTTATTTATTTTGTGTTCGTGTATTGGGCAGGTGTATGTGTGTGTGCATCGGAGTGTGTGTATGTGTATGTACATGTGTATGTTTATGTATGTGAACATGAATATGGATGTCAAAGGTTAACCTTGGATGTTCCTCAGGAGCTGTCCATCTTAGTTTTCAGAGATAGGGTCTTTGAGCAAAACCTGAGGTTCACCAATGAGGCTAGGCTGGTTGACAAACAAGTCCCAGGAATCTGCCTGCCTCCGCCTCTCCATTACAGGGATGACAATCTCATGCCACCATCCCACCTTTATAGGACCAAATTCAGTACAACAAGCACTTCCCAGCCAAGCCATATCCCTGATCTCCACCCAATCTGAACACCCACCGTATCTTGCTTTGAGCAGGTTCAAGGATTATCGAGAGCCACCATGGGCACCAAACCCCTATGAGTTTTCCAAGCAGTACTGGTCTGTCCTGTCTGCCCGTCTGGCCTTTGTTATCATCTTCCAGGTGAGTTATTTCGATGAAAACCAACCTGTTAGGATGCAGGCTTCTCAGGTGAAGAGAGTCATTGGGCCCTGCCTGCCCCTCATAGCCAGATGCTTAAGGTACAGTCATCTTTTGGTATCCTGGGTGTGTATATATGGTTTTAATATCTCCCTGGGACACTAAAATCTGAGGGTGCTGAAGTTTTTTTTAACAAGTGACATCACATTTGCTTGTAGCCCACCAATATCCTCTCGTATACTTTACATCACGACTGGATGACATGATAACTAACGCAATGGAAACTCAACACGGGCAGGTGAATTGTGTTGTCTACGAAATGCCCATGAGTACAAGCCTGCAGTGTCCCTGTTGGTGCGACTTTGTTCGTCTCTTACCTTCGATGCACAGTTGGTTGAATCTGAGCATAGGGGGCAATGGATACAGAGGCCCACTTGTGCTCTGTGACATAGGGGACTTCACATGTGGCAGGCAGCAATAAATGTAAAGCAGGAGGGTTCCCCAGAGACAGCTTCTTTGAATGGGGGGAGGGAGGGAAGAGGGAGGCTTGGCCGAAAGATAATAAAACCCAGAGTAAAGTTATCAGACAGATGTAGAGTAAGTTGCAAAGTGGAGAGAGATAGTTGCCCATTTAAACTGGAGAAGAAGAAAAGAAAATGGAGAACCATTGAAACCAGAGTCTCAGCCCTGGGACAGACAAACAGCACATCCTTTCTATTAGCCTGAGAAAGGGCTCAAGTTCCGAAGCTTTCTTCCTGAGCTCCTGGGTCCCTCCTTTGTTAGCTTTGTCTACCATGGAGACATCTGGTTGGAGGGGTCTGCAGAGTCACCTAGCCACCCCTGGAATGAATAGCAAACCCGAGCTCAGTGATTCCTATCTCTGACAATAGCCACAGCTCCAGTTGCGTCGCTGAGATTCTCTCAGCTCCAGGGCCCCCAGTTCCCACTCAGGGTCCTGTTGATCTCTGAGCAGGGGCCAGAGCACAAAGCCAGATCCCTTTCTCGTCAGCTCCCTTGGCTTTTGTAATCCCCGAAGGCAGGTCTCTGGGGTGCTCTAAGGTATCCTGCCCCTCAGACTCTAACTCAGGATGAGGAGAAGACCACCAGCTTGTCTTTCACCTACAGAAGACGTTATTCTTCCTTTGTAGAGATGGGGTGATATGTTTGAAAAACTCCCTAGACATCCTCCTGCTGCATCCGTCTGCCCCCACCTTCTCACTTGCCCACACGTCAAATGTCACAGGTCACTCACATCGGTGGTGGATAGAAGAAAAGCCTAAATACCTGGGAGCCTCTGAAAGCAGTTTTTCCCAAAGTCTTTCCTTGAGTTCCTAGAAGCATGATATATAGTTCAGGGGCTGTTACCGCCTTGGTTTTCCATAGGGAAAAGAGAGGACACACATGCGTGTTGTTCACAGACAGAAAATGACCACAAGTTGAAGAATTGTTGGGTGAATGTGTGGGAAGGACAGAATCGATAGATGAGCAAGAATCAGAATATGCTGGCTTGTAGTGGTCCATGCCAGGTACCATAGCCTGACTGATACTCATTCACTCAGAGAGAAAGTGATCCCAGGAAAGTCTTTCCTTGCCAACACGTGTATCCCAGAGATGTGTATTCAGAAACTTGGGATCAACCGAAGAGAACCAGATACAGAGAGTCTCTGGTGGTGGCAGAATGTGTAGACTAAGCTGTAGGTGGGTTGGGCTACGTCAGATCAATGCCAACACCTAAGGTCCCTGGTATTGGGGACAGAGAGACAGCTGGGGAGATGAATGGGGCAACTATCACACAGGCAGTCCTACAGAGGCTACTGTGTTCGGTGGTCGCTTCCTTGGAGGTCCCAGTCTAGAGCAAACCTAAGAGTGTTAGGACCAAGGACATGTGAGGACACAGGACCTCCTGAAAGGAAGGCCCACTAGCTAGCTGTCACTTACCATGCCTTGCCATCGCCAGTATGTGAGGTGTATCAATCCATCAGTACCCACAGCTGATCCAGGGTTAGGTTGAAGTTGTAGTTATTTTCCTAATAGAACACCATTACCAATGAGGACACCAAGGGACACTGGCTAACTGGTAAAGATCACTCAGCCAGTGAGTTGCCTAACATTCTGTTCAGTCTCTTCCTTTCTCAAACTCAAAGCATGGTCACTCTTAAGGGGCCAAGGTGGACAGTGGTGAGCTAGTGTCCACCTGTGACCTCATGTATCTCACCACCAAGCCAGGCCCCCACCATTCATATCTCTTCCTTGTCTTGGTAGAACCTAGTCATGTTCCTGAGTGTCCTTGTGGACTGGATGATCCCGGATATCCCTACCGACATCAGCGACCAGATCAAGAAAGAGAAGAGCTTGTTGGTGGACTTCTTCCTGAAGGAGGAGCATGAGAAGGTCCAGCTGGCCGATGAGCCGGCCCAGAGCCAGGCAGGTGGGGATCGGAGCAGGAGGAGCCGCCCAGCCAGCTCTGCACCTTCAGGCCGTAGCCAGCCAGGCAGCATAGCATCCTCGGGGTCCCAGCACACCAACGTGTGAGTCAGCAGTTGGCAGCAGAGGAGGGCATGTGACAGCGAAGCGCATGCGCACACCACCATACGTTCTTGTACCTCAATGGCTCCTCTTCTGCTGGGAACTGGCTTGAGGCTGTCTCCAAGAGGAAGTTACAGAAATGAAACTGTGAGAGAGTGCAGGAGGGAAGGGAACTGTACTGCTCCTCAGAAACTGGAAACATGTTTCTTTTAGGTTCTCTTTTGAGCTGAGTCCTTTCAGGAAGTTGGTACCCCACCCCATGGGGGCCTCTTCACTCTACAATTCTCTGGGGTCCTTTCTTGTACTTCACCATCATTTTAGTTGAAAGAAGTGCAGTCAGAGCCCCATCCATCCCAGCACCCCCTTCTCACCCAGAAATAACTTCTTGGAGACGCTTTTGACTGGGGCCACTGCAAGGCTGAGCAGATGCAAATGAAGTTACAGGGTTGGTTTCTGTGGCCATTGGACCTGATGGGAAGGAACAAAGATCCTATCCGATCTCATGTGGTTCATGGAACAAAGAAGCTTGGATACAATGCAACTAACCACCATTTTATGCAAGTTCGGATTTAAAATAAAATAAGTGGATTCTTTTTATTAAAACACATCTCTTGTCTTTGATGCCTGTTGCTTCTCCTCCTTCCTCTTATCTCTCTCTCCTATCCTTCCTTTTTTTCTTCCATGTCTCTCCTTCTCTTCTTTTCTCTTCTTTCTCTGTGCCAAGCTTTGTTCTCATAAAGCAGGCAACAAAAGAGAGAAAATTCCTGTGTGATTTTGGAGCTGACAGCCTGGGGACAGATGATAAACCAGCAGTTGTGTGTAGTATTTTAGACAATGGTGAATGCAATGGAGAAATGCTAGGTAGAACAAAGTAAACAGGAAGCATGGGGGCACAGGAATTGTGGGGGCACAGGAAGTGTGGGTGCATTCAGAGTTTATCCATGGAGCTGGTCAGAAAGGCTGTAAACAATGGAAATAAAACAGGTGGGGATCACTTTGCAGAAAGGAGCAGCTGGGCCAGGTAAGGGATGTTAGGGAGAAAGGTAGGGGCTCAATTCTATACTCAGTATAGAGTACATATTGAAATGCTAGCAGAGTCAGTTGGTAGCAGCTCTCCAGGGCTCTGTGGGGAGATTCTCATGAAGAGTTGGATGGAAAGGCCAAGTGTCATTCATCACTGCCAATCATGTCATGCTTCTCAGCCCCTCTGCAGCCCAGAAGCTACAATCTCATATCCTCTAACAACTTACCTCCAGTGCTGTACAAGTCATTCTGACCAGTTAATGCCTGATTAGCAAACACAAGGAAGGCACTACTCCAAAGGAAAGTAGAGTGGGATTCTCATGTTTCAGCAAACCCTGAAGAAGGAAGGGTGTTGTCCAGAGTTGGGCCACCTGAGTTTCTAGGCCCACACTGGCAACATGCAGCATTATAACTGACCACCAACCCTTGCCCCAGGATGTAGCCCTTTCTTTTGTAGTAATGACAGGCACACATGTGTCTCTTAAAATCCCAGGTAACCATGTCCCAGACCACTCCTGTACAAGTAATCCTAAAATCAACCACAATTGTATCACATCTTAATATTCGCAGCTACTCCTGGAGCCTGGGTTCTAACCACAGAAACATGACAACAGACATAGCTCTTCTACAGAGAGTGTGGTGGGCAGTGAGAAGCAGTGTCAGTTCAAGGAGAATTAATGGCATGAAGACTCCAGGTTTGAAACAAGAGGAGGGAAAACAATATGAGTGTCCAGCAATTCATACTGGTGTTGGTGGTATTCCTGTCTGCAGGACCCAAGCGTATCAATGGTCAAAGGTTGTCTCTGAAAGACTCTGGGTAGAGCCTCTCTAGACGGGGAGACCCCGCTTCCCAAGAATCAGCGAGACCAGCCTTCGGATGCAAGCCGCAAGAGGTTTATTTTGATACACGGGTACCCGGGGCGACAAAGCCTTTCGGAAGACCTGCGCGCCCCTCGGTTGGGGTAACGGGTTTTTATAGGGCTTGGGAGCAAGAAGCACGTTTACAGAAGCGAGAAGCATAGTTACGGGGATCTGATTGGGGGATTTGAACAAAGCCATAGTTAGGTTACGTATTTGGAGCAGGGAAGGCGGGAAAGCAGATGTGGGCTAAGTCACGTAGCCGGTTCAGAGAAGGCGGGAAAGACTCCCGGTTCTTATCTTGGGTGTCCCGATTGTTTCAGGCGCCCAACCGCAGATACCCTGTGGTTGGACACCTGTCCTGCCCTGCCTCTGACCCTGCATTGCTTGTAAAATAGTGTTGCCAGCATTATGCTAGGGCTTTTTATTTTTCCAGTCTCCATCACCAGGATGCCCATTTGACACTGAACCACACCTCCACTCACAAGCTGTCCACACTGCCACTTCTTCTTGCCTTAAATTACAGGAAACATTTCTTTCATATGAGTACAGAGGTAAAATTTGTACGTCAAGAAAGAGTCAGAAAGTCCAAAATAACAGTGAAGAAGACAAGCAACTTGCTGCCAGTTTCCAAAAGGAGACTCAGCACTGATGAGCATCGTGGCTTCCAGACTTAATTCTACTCATTTGTATCTTTTTTTTTAATTGACAATCCTGCTCAGTGCACCGTCGTGTTCAGTGTTTTCATCTCATGTAGCTCATCACATTTTTTTTTTAATCCAAAATGTGCTTATTGGGATGGTCTTCCACTTAACTTGATTTAGGCTGCTTTTACTTTCACGTCC